GAAAACCTTGCAAGGGGTGTTCAGGCAGTTGTTTCAAGTATCTCAAAAGATGAGTATTACAAATGTTTTGAGAGTTGGAAAAAAAGGCTGCAAAAGTGTATAGACAATAATGGTAATTACTTTGAAGGAATGAAATAGTTTATTTGGCTTTCATAACATAATTTTTAGAAATAAAGGCAAATTGTCATTACTTTTCAGCATACCACATAGACTATGTACTCGGCGGTGTCATAAAAATCATTTCAGTCGTACAATAGTTCATAGTATATGAACACTAGTAGTAACTATGAACTGACAGTGTCATAAAAATCATTTCAGTCGTATGACAGTTTATAATCTAAGTTAAGCCGGTTCATAATATATATATATATTATGAACCGGCTACAGTGCATCAAGTTTTTGATGCACCATTTGAGATCCCTGCCCTGCCTGCAATTCCATCAAAAACGCTCACCATGTCACTCTTCCATACCTTTACAGTGTCCATACTCTTTTAGCGCCTCACTAAAGCTTTCGAAGCTTTCGTCAATATGGTTATTAAATCATGATACGTGTCCGCAGCCGTTCAAGTGCGTCGACTGATTTGCTAACATTCGAGAGGCTTACCCATTATGAGAACTGGTGTAAAGAGATTGCAAGTCAGAAAAGCTAATCTAAAGACCTGTGCTTCTACTTTTTCTTTAACAGCCTTTTTTTATGTATACTTATGTATTATAGCCCAACTTATAAAAGCTGTGCCCAATAATCAAGATAATCAAGAGAAATCGCTGGTAATCACAGGTAATCACCGCAACCTTGAAAACAGTCCTCGGCTTCTAAAGAGTTCGTTGTTGTAATAAACTCAGCTTCTGGCTTTGGAGTCGTCTGCTTTGGAAATCACCGAGTAATAGTTTGTACTGACCTTGCCGCGCGTAATCACGTGTTTGCAAGACCTAGAATTTTGAAAGGGCAATAATCATCAAGTGACTTGTAGTACGAAAATTGTGGTTTATTCTGCCAATTTCAAATTGAGCTGCTAAATTTTGTTCTTAATGTTTAAATTTTCGTGCTTGGTATTGCACAGTTCAATCATTTCGGATGCATAATAATAATAGGATTTTCGAATAAAATCTGCTTATTGTTAAGACGAGTCTATCGTATCACGAGTCACATGATAAATACTAGTTTTTAATTGAACCAATTTACTAAAAGTGTCTAGAGTTGACACGATACATACGGACTACCGATTAGTTTGGCGTAGGTAACATCCCCAAAAGATAATATCGCTCTCCACTCGAGGGTGAAATAATAGATCTTATTCATACTACGAAAAACATTATAACTAGATCATTGCTGCGCTGCTGGTCAAACTTTTACCACAGCCTAGTCAGTTTTTAAAGATAATAAAAGACAACATTCAGTACCAATGAAGACAATGTAGTTTCCGTTAATCAGTCTGACAAGAGCTAGTTTGTTAAGATTGTATTTTTTATAAACAGTCATTTAGCACCCAACATTGGTTTCAGCAGAGACGCTCAATTTTGTACACTTAATATTAACTAATGTGATATCATAGGTTAGACAATGTAAGAATGATATACAGAACGAAGATTAAGATCGGCTCCTAGCAGACGAAAAATGATCGATGGGAACGGATTCAGGGGTTGCGTGACGGAACACCACCTTTTTAAGCCGGAAAAAAAATTTTTTGTCAACAAAATTAAGCCGTATTATTACTTATATAATTTTAATCCACTTCACTCAATTGTCTGGTTGCGTGGTGTAATGGTTAGCACCCAAGACTCTGAATCTTGTGATCCGAGTTCGAATCTCGGCGCGACCTTAATCTACCGTTTTGAATACCCGTTTCTAGCTTGATCCAAGCTTTTTCTTCTTATTTTACTCTTTGTGTGCCGCAGCGCGCAGGGAACAATATGTGGCATTGACAGATCACATCCAAATTCGAAATTGCAACTATGCAGCACAACTACATTGTAGGTTTAGAATACCTTCAATGTTCACGTTCTTATGCATATGATTTACCTAGTCTTTCTTTGTGTGGGGGGTCATGAGAAGATATAAAAACCCTGTGTCGAGTGAAACACACAATCAACACCAGGTGCCAGGCTAAAATTTTGTCTATTGTTAATAAGCTTTTATCTACTCGATCAACACAATAATCTTTGAAGACACGAAAATATAAGACAACTTATTAACCATGGACAAGAGAAAGGAAGAACTAGCCAGAAAACGACAGAAATTGGCCGAGTTGCGCAGGTTGAAGGAAGAAAGAAACAAGGTCGCTCCAGAAAAAGACCCTGCGGTAATTGTACAGATTAATTAATTGATATAGCTAAATCACAAATTAATTAACTTTATATAGTGTAATTTTAGCTCACTAACCAAAATTTGAATTGATCCCATCATTGATAAGCTCGCAGCTGAAGCTCCTCGTTCCCGGACTGAAGATGTTAGAGATCTAGTAAATTTACTTCTCAATGATAAGAAAGACGAAAAACGGCCCTCCACACCTGGTCCAACAGACTTGGTTGGAGACTCTGATGGTGGTGGGAGTGATAAAGAGCCCCGACGTTTGCCTCTTAACCTCGAATCGAATGGAACTGAGACTAGTGGAAGTCCGACAATCAGTTTACCGCAAAGGTTGGTACTATCTTAGAAAAAAGTGTAACGCATGATTAAGGACAAGAGAGTTATCGAAAAAATGGTTCCGACTGTGGATACTATATAGATAATATATATATCAATAAATTACAAGGATAGCAATCAACCTACTTGTTCATCCAAGATTAATCATATCTGTTCTTTCCTAGCCCACAAGTGTCTGCTAGCGGATCACGCTTCATACCAGATTTTTCATCCTTCGAAGCTGTAATCCTTGATATTGCTCCAAAGGTAAGTTATGTGTAGCGTTAACCTTGATCATATATTAACTGATAATCGAATTACTATTCTTCTTTCATACTCACTGCATCACAATTACATTCTATTGTAATTCATTACATCAAAAAAGGAAGTAGTATTTTACGACAAAGAGGCGCAGACAAAAGAGACATCTACTAACCCTCCAGCACCGTCGGAAGATGAAATACGCGAGAGGGTTGAGAAGGAACTTGCTGAAAGAGAAAAACAGCGACTAGCACAAATCGAAGAGCAGAAAGCCAAGACGGAAGCCGAGAGAAGGAAGGCAGCGAAAGCCAGAGGTATGATATGAAATGTTTCTATGAGATGAAGTTATGCGAAAATTATTAAATCGAGAGCAAAGCAAGCAAGGGCATAGATTTACATTAGATATTTTAGAACCGAGCTTGTCAAATACTGATGGAAAGTACTTTACCTATCCATTTACACATACCTTGCTATTGAATATCCTGCGATGATAGATCTAAGCGAAGAACAAAGAAAGAAAATCCTTGCTTCGGTTGATTTTGTCGAATTTGTCGATCACTCCACTAGGCTCGTTGGACGAGTTCTTTCTGATGATTATGATTTCATGAAAGATTATTCCATTACTCAAGTTGATGATAAGTAAGATATAAATGCATTCATAACGTTCCTTATGTCTTCTGAAAGACGTGGTAAGACCACTTATGCTATTAGAAGCGCATGTATTGATACTTGTACTTACGCTTTTTAGTGACGAAGATTCAGGTAATAGAGTAAAATATCTTTACTCATTCTTTGATGAACGGTGGGCGAAATCGCGCGCTACACGGTCTGTGACCGACGTTAATTGGTCTCACAAGGTTAGAGAGTACTATTACTAAACTCTGTTTTAAGCTAGATTGTGTAATTAGAGCTATTAACTGTGATTATAGCGATGGTGATAATTAACCAATAAGTATTTAACGCTCGTCCACCTCAAACACGATTTTCGATCGCATGACTACGGAATACATTTCCGTCAAATAGTTCCCTGAGCTCTGTGTTGCATCATATAATAAAAATCCGGTGACATCAAGTGAACCGGATGGATTAGTACTCGTGTGGAATATGCATTTGTTAGCAAGGCCGGAGTATGTGTTCCATGCACAGGTTAGTTTTACGTCTTGTGGATGAAAGAGACAAGAATGCTATTTATAATCCCATTACTTACAACATGCTATTCCTTCTCTTCTGCACCATCCCCCCTGCTATACTCAGTCTGACGTCCTAACGACAACATTCTCTCCGTTCCATCCAAATTACATTATCGGCGGTTGCTATTCAGGACAGATAGTCATCTGGGATAATCGTGCGAAGTCCCAGCCCGTTCTCAAAACACCGCTCTCCGCAAATGGTCATACGCATCCTATATACTCTATGCAAATGGTTGGATCCCAGAATGCTCATAATTTGATTACGGCATCTACTGATGGTTTGGTGTGTGCATGGCAATTGGATATGCTCACTCAGCCACAAGAGTCATTGGAATTGGTGCATCCAGGTCATAGCAAGACGGATGAAGTTTCTGTCACTGCGCTCGGGTTTCCAGATGCCGAGACTACGGCATTCTGGGTCGGAACGGAAGAAGGGAATGTATACCAAGCAAATCGGTTTGACAGGGCTGGAAGGTCTGTAGTTTGATTAATTTAATGAAGAATGTATATCCATACCATATGATTTGTTGTGTCAAACTTTGGGAATATTCACTTACCCTTCTGCCTCACATCCAATTTGTCCAACCAGCAAAGCTGGAATAAACCAATACGATTATTATAAAGGCCACTGGGGACCGGTGACAGGCCTTGAATTTCACCCTCTCGTAGGCAAAGTCAACTTCTCCGATCTTTTCCTCACCTCTAGTGTGGACTGGACTGTCAAACTCTGGAGGGCCAAGTCAGCATCCAGACCGTCTAGTCAAGTTCAAACTATCACTCCTCTCTATTCATTCGAAGGTGCTGACGATTACGTCTACGATGTCAAATGGTCGCCCAATCACCCCGCTTTATTCGCAAGCGTTGATGGAACTGGCAGGTTTAGTCTGTGGAACTTGAATATGGACACCGAAGTGCCCGTTGTAGGGTTAAATGTTGGAAGTGGGAAAGCACTAAATAAGATTCAGTGGGATAAGGAAGGAAGAAAAGTTGCTATTGGTTCATCAGACGCGAAGGTTCATGTTTATGATATTGGAGAGGTGAGTATGAAGCAAATTTATAGAATGAATATGTAAAAATAAAACGGAATAATGCGTAAAGCGTCTGCGTAAACAAATTAATCACATACACATTCTTCCCTGCATCAATAGCTCGGTCAAGCGCATCCGGATGAGTCGAAGAATCTACAAAAGGTCATTGCCGACATGGCTGCTGTTAGTGAAATAGAAAATGCCAGAAATGTTGCTGTGGGGAAGTGAAATTGAGACAGGATCGTGCTTGTCACAATTTAGGTGTTAACTACTACATGTTAGTAGATATTGTATATTTATACTTGTTGATTTAAATTAAGACATTTGAATTAAAGACTCTATAACGTCTTTAGTATACGTGCATATTTGATGCCGATTCGCCCTATTTTTGCGTTTCGTTTCAGACATTTAAGCAACAAATTTTATTCTATAACAATGGAAGTTCTCACTTGGAACAGTACCCCAAACCAGTTTAAATTAGACGGATCAGATTTTCCCTTCACGGGGTAGAATAGTAATTAAAGGCCAATCTTGCGATAATTTATTTAATTCTTTTATTTTAAATTAGCTTAGAAAGAATTAATCAGTAGTTATCCACTCACGTCTACTAAAATTTGGGAAGTTATGGACTGTACGAATTAATTCCAAAAGTTTTTAAGAACTTCAATGCAGGTCGCCATAATTCCTAACTGTAAGCGTCATCTGACACTATCTCGATATACCCTGTTTATTGGTCGTAACAGTTGTATGCCGCGCAAATCCAACTCGATCCAAGTTAAATCATTGAAATAATATTGTCTCTTTTTTTTTTAAACATTTAGTATCTTCTTCAGTTTTATAATTAGTGCCCAGTCCTCTTTGGATACATCATCTCTAAATGATTCTTTTACAACGTCGATAGATTGACGAGAAATCTGAAATAGAAATGACATTAGTAATCCAAAGTGAATGTAATATCAAAGCATGTCAAAATATGTCGATACTCACCTTGCTGTAAAGTTCGTCTTGCTCAACGAAATGCCTCCCAATCATCTTTGGTGTTTCATAACTGGGACACTCGATCTTAACTGCTACTCCGCCACTCGCCTGACCTTTCCGCACCATATCAATATTCTTATGATTCTGTTGTATCGATACTACTCTCCCAAGGTTGAGTATTTCACGTACCTATATAAATAAAGTAATAAGGTGCATACAACAATTATGTATATAAATTCTAGTATCGGATATATCAAGTTCGCGTAAGAAATAAATCGCGCACTTACATTTGTTGCAGCATCGACTTTAACGACGCATATTGGTGTACCCACTCGTAATGAACCTTCAACGACGTCAACACCAACCAGAATAGGATCTCTCTTGTTGAATACTGCTCCCGGTATAATCCTGAGTACGCACGGAAAGACTGCCTGTGGAGCTTGATCCCTGCGCTTCTGTTCGAGCATATCCTAATAAAGAAAATAGTTTGGAAGAGCCATTTGATGTTATATTCTACAATTATGATATTTGTATTTTCTCTGCTTACCTGGTTGTAAGCAGTGAACTGGTCAAATAAGTGATAAATAATATCGGCTTTGAACATCTTAATTCCAAGCTCTTCTGCCAGGTCTTGGGCCTCTTTGTCAAACTTCACATCAAATGCAAGAATTACAGCGAATCTGTAACAGTCAACATGGTAGCCATCAATACCAATAGCTATCACAACCACTAACCCAACCTCCCCATCGATTACTCACTCCTTAGCCTTCTCAAGCATACTGGCAGCTCTCATAACGTCTTTCCTGTGCACCGGTCCGATACCAACGCCCGACACCGGTATCTTACTCGTTTTCAAAAACTCCAACAGGGCTTCCAGTGATCCCAGGGTGCTCGCCTGTACGTAAACACCTTTTCCACTTTTATCAACTGAACTCATCATGTCCTGCAAATCACTCATCACCTCTTCTTTGACTTCCTCCTCATCATCATCTGGGCCAACTACCAACAGCCTGCTACCAGCAATAGCTTTGTCTAGATCCTGCGCAGATATCTTCACACCCTGTGCAGCCTTGACACTCTTATGGTGAACATAAGAGGACTTTACGCGTAGTTCACGTAAAGGTTGCGGTGTTAATAATGCTCTTATGTTGGTTACTATCGGACCGTTTAATCCACATATAACAATCCTATCGCCTTCGTTTAGGACTCCATTAGAGAGGATTACATCGATTGTAGTGCCAAGACCATCGATCACTTTAACTTCGAGGACAGTGCATTCAATTTCGGAGAGGTACATCAGTTGATTAGACATACGTGTTTGCGTGAGATTAACGAGTAACATAAGCATATCTGGAATGCCTTCGCCTGTTATAGCTGAGGTTGGGACTAGAGAGACTAATTTGGCAAAGTTTTTGTTCTCATAGTACAAAACCGAGTTTAAACCCTGTAGGCAAGTATATTGTAAGTTGTATTGCAACAAAGTATGCATTATATTGAAACTAGTCGATATTTAACCTGTTCAGCAAACGCTACTATAGTCTGCTGCACGCGATCTTGAAATTCTCTCTTCACATGATTTTCTTGTTTCTCAATTGAATCTACGAAGGCATTATCTGGTATTGCTTCCCACCCATATATGCGGTCAATCTAACACAAAATACAATCATATTAATGTAGCTTCGTCTCGACGGGCCTAACCATTCCATGCATGTCACATTCAATAGACACACACCTTATTCAATGCAACAATAAACGGTGTCTTCCGATCTCTCAATAGTCTCAACGACTCCAAGGTTTGCGGTTCCAGCCCATGCTGCAAATAGTATAAATTAAGTAAACTACATGTACAATTATTTCCCTTATCACTAACGCTTACGATTGAAACGCAAAAGGAACTGCGGCACCATCGCAGGGGCAATCCTATATAGCTCAATGACTCACCATTATATCAACCACTAAAATAGCAATATTACAGAGTGATGATCCACGCGTGCGTAAATTAGTAAAGGACTCGTGACCTGGAGTATCGATAATAAGTAGACCAGGGAGATTGTATTCTTGTTTACCATCCTAATACATGGATTACCAATAGTTGATAAGTATTTGGAATAATACTGTATAGCAGTTATATAATACATTTCAACAAACCTTATTCAAAGGAGCAGTTTTTATCTTGATTGTATCCATTGGGAAATATGAAGCTCCAATCTGTTGAGTAATACCCCCAGCTTCACCCTCTTGAACATTAGTCTGCCTAATTTTGTCTAACAGTTTCGTCTTTCCGGTATCCACATGTCCAAGAATACAACAAATGGGTGAACGAAGATTGTCTTTCGATGCAGTAGGCTTTGTGGCAGGGTTTTCCACATGTTTTGTACCAAGTTCCGTGGTGGGCTTCCTATCGGGCTGTGTGTCTGCCTCTATGACGGGTTTCGTGACAGTTTTTGCAACATCTGATGCTTTTGAGCTTGGTTCTAGGCAGGAATAAATAAAGCATTTACGGATGAAGGCTCAGTCTTGAACGCTGTACTCAAGCGCAAATTCTGACTCACAACTAGTTGCTCACCTTTCGCGGAAACATGCTCCTTCTTATCTTTCACTTCCTTGGTCTTTACTTTTGCTTTCTCTTCCTTTGCCTTTAATTCCTTTGCCTTTAATTCCTTTGCCTTTAATTCCTTTGCTTTTTCTTCCTTTGCTTTTTCTTCCTTTTTCTTTTCTTCCTCAATTTCTTCATTGTCATCTTCGTCTTCTTCCTCTTCATCTTCATCGTCATCTTCATCTTCACCTTCACCTTCTTCTTCACCCTCAGATGAATCTTCCCAGCTTGCCTTAATGTCAACATCTTTAGATACAACTTTTTCTTCATCTTCCTCTTCGTCAGAAAGCTCCCAACTTTCCTTGACACCACCTTCAGGCATACTTTCTGGTTCTGGCTTTTTGATCTCTTCTTTTGTTGTTTCATCAACGTTTTCCTTGACTTCTTCCTTTATGTCCATAACTATATCAAATTAGAAACTTAAAGTTCGATGAACGGCTCACTTATTATTTGACTGATTTGTGCTAACATTTGGCCTCCAAGAAGTCATTCTTCAGTGTTTCACCTCACCTTTCGCATCATCAGTAGCTTCACTTATTTTCTGTTGTTGTTTCTTCTTTTTATTGGTTCGCGAATCTTTTTTCGATGCGTCGTTATTATTACTGTCACCGGCAAGGCCCTCAATTTTGACACCGGATTCGAGCATTTGTTGACGCCGAAGTTGAGCTTGTTGTTGAGATTTTTTCTGGGCTTTTGAGAGGAGTTTACCTTCTTTACGGAGTTTTTCGCGCTTAGCCTATGGTGAAAAGAGTTTGAGCATGATGCAGGGCAAAATTGGCGCTAAAACGGTAGGATCAATAGTTTATTTAATCAATAAATCATTGCAACCTTCTCCCTCTCCTTTTTCTTTCGTTTTGCCTCTTCCTTGCGTTGCTCTTCTTCCTCTAAACGCTTTCTTTCCTCTATGAGTAAGCATGCAGATGAGCTTTGATATGATATTATAACGTGTTATCAGATTAGTAATTGGTCGATTAAACTTACCTTCTTGCCTACGAGCTTCTTCTTCTTCTTTGCGTTTCGCTTCTTCTTCAATTAATCTACATACAGAATAAAAAACATTGGTGATGCGATAGTATTGCACTGTTTTAGCCTCACAAGGATCATATTGATCATGTAGCTATATCAAAGCAAAATTTTCAAGAAACCCAATTAAAAGCATAGATTATTGAAATTTACCTTTTACGCTCAACAGCAGCCTTAATAGCGGCAATATTCGGCCCCTTCTTGGATTTTGCCTTCTTGTCTTCCTCTGGTTTCTTCTTCTTTTTCTTTTTTTTATTCTTCGATTTCTCTCCATCCTCGTTCTCTCCTTCTGCTTCTCCCTCCGCTTCTCCTCCTTCTACTTGTTCTTCTACTTCTCCTTCGCCTTCAACTTCTGCTTTAGTCGCCTCTTGCACTACTACATTGGTTGCTGATGTCTCCTCGGCCGTTATCTCCTCTTTTCCTTCGTCTTGCTTAGGTTTGTTTGCAGCAGTAGCAGCAGCAGCCTTCTTCTTATCAGCTTCTGCTTTCTTCTTTTCTTTCTCCCTTTGTTTCTTTAATTTTTCCTTTTCTCTCTTAGATAACATGGTTCCTTTACTTTTTTTACTTTGCGCGACCTTGAATTTTTTAGCAATCAACGTTACACAATCAATTTATATAATTGACCGCAGCATTCTAATGTGTGGCATAAAGTTTCAAGATTATTATCATTAACCAAATTGCTTCGGAAACAAAACGAGGAACTAGTAGCAGTGATCACAGAAGTGCAAGAAAAGCTATCAGATGTAAATCCAACCCGATACTATCAAAGATATAAAAATGCACTGGCGAAAATATCCGCATTAGAAGCCTCGTTGGAAAAATGGCGGCGGCTTGCTCGCAATTACGAAAAGTTTAATGATTACCGTCAACGAAGGTATTCAAGAAACGGCGATAGTGAGACAATATATGGGCTGCGTTACCCATTCCGTAAGACGCTTACTGGTGTCTCCACGGATTATGATACAATAGACAATTATCAGTCAATTGAGGAGAAGATATCGTCGGCCACCGAAACAATGGCTAGTAAATCAAAAGACAGAATGAAAAGTTATACTCCTAATCCTTTCAAGCTGCTCAGCCGGACATTATCGCTGAGTAATAACGATACCTCAAAATTTCCAGAGAGTGGGAATATCCAAGAGTAACATTAGCCTGCCATTCAATCGACGTCCGTTAACACGGCCCTCGCTACACTGAATATTACCATCCGGAAAGTGTAATGACTACCCCAGATAGTATTACCGCTCGTGAGTTAGTAGATGAAATGCAACGGTCATCTACTATGACGAATGAGGAACGTGGCTTCAACAAACCAAGTATGAGCAGTAATGTATTGGCTGATTTATTTCGGAGGAGGGAGGCTATGGGAGGGGAGGAAGCAACTCTTTGAAAACTGGCATTGGCAAAAAAAGAGAAGATACAGCAGAAGACGATATATTAAGGAGTGGTGATAAAGGAAGAGCATTATTTGGATTGACAATGATACTATTACTAATAATAAGGCTCTGCAGAAATAGATATAGTTATAGACAGCGGCATTTATAGTGATGATCAGAGTCATGAGGACAATAACTACGTACAGTCAGAATGAAACTCGTACGAACTCGTCGATTTTTTACGACCCACCTAACGATCAAACAAAATTTGAATCGCCGCCATCAGACTGAATAATTCGACCAAGTAACTTGAAGGAAAATACAATAGAGGATTGGACAAGGGGGTTTGGTCCAGGTTGTGGAAAGATAATCTCTAACATCAACTACAAGTCAAAATTCTCGAGAACATTGCTATTATTATTTAATTTTAATTCATAGACGATAAACTTTAGAAGTTGATAGTTAATTCATTCGTGCGTAAAAGATTGCTAATTGGTTATAGTGTGGTCAATCGGATAATTTTTAGATTTAATTGTTATGTGACTACTTAATTAAGCCTTCGAAAAAGTATTATAAAATGTATAAAAAGTAAATTTGATGAAATTGCTGGTGAAATACTTTTTTGTTCATGCCTTTGATTAAAGCAAATAGTGGCAGGGCATTAATTCACAAATAGCGTAAGAATATGAAACGGGGGGTTTTTTTATAATAACCGTTAAAATGTATTAGTACCGAGCGCTCGTGCGCACTGGATTCGATGGTCATAAACACGGAAGGTCGGTTTTGGAGATATAGCAATGGAAATGGAAATAAAAGATCCAAGCTAAATGTAGTATTACTCGAACATCTTTCGTCCGCCGCTTAAGGATCTGGCAACGGAAAACTAGATTGTGAAGTATCTATCAAATGCGAAATTTTTATGGCAGTTTATTAGGACGCATATCGAGTGCGGAGTGTGTTCAAAGTTCTTGCCATGGATGAACGATTAGATATGTTAATATTATTGACCCGGGTCAAAAATTGTTGACCCATTTCGGTTTTTTGCAAATTTGTGATAATCTACGAAAAAATTTTTATCACTGTAACACACGCTATAACAGATATTTGTAGACTATACCAAATATGTATAACAAGCACTTTTTTTTACTTGACGTTATATTTTCAATAGTAATAGACGCAGATTACCAAAGCCATTATATCACAATAATAAAAAGTATTTATCAACTAGCAGTTATCTGTTAACGCTGAATACACATTGTATAAAACAGATTACATCGCACATATCCTCTCTAACATACACATTTTTTGAGTAATAGAATTTTCGTTTCGCCAATTTGCATTCTTGGATTTGCACTTGCTCAGGAAATAATCTCTGGCAGCTATGTATTTGTAGTCACCATCCGGTTGAATTCTCAGATCGATCAAGTCCACTGTTTGAGTTAACATTGGCCATCGACTTGTGCAGAAGTTACATGCATTGATAAAGGCGACAGCTAATTTTCTAGGAATGTAGCTGTGTTAAATGAAAAGTTGGGCCTTCGCCTATGATATTAATTCAGATCATCTGATTTACCTTAGGATCTTCAGACACCTTTTAGACAATCGTATGATGTTGAAGAACTGATACTGCATCATCCAGTATCAACGAAGTATGATTGATAGCATTGTTGAAAAATTAACAATTTTGATATGCTGCATCATCCGGATTATGAAGCATCGATCGTATGATTGATAGCAACTGTAACAATAAGTGTTCAACGAAAAGATGTCCTGTAAAAGTGTATATAATAGCTGTAACTCAACTGTCATCCCACAAATAACCATTGTGCTAATCATTCATAGCTTCCAACTAGAAATTATGTTTAAATCTAAAATAATAAAGTAAATCTTTTTGTTCGCTCATACATTTAGTATCAAAGGTGTAAATAGCATGCTATGTGTATCGCTGTGATAAACATTTGCAAAATCGAAATGGGTCAAATCCTAGAACGGGTCGTAACATTAATACCATCTTTTTTCTTATAATTTAGAGACTCAAACTCTTTTTGAATAAACTTGTAATTTACTGGGTTATTTATTATACAATTACCAAAAAAGGTAAAGAAGAGATGATTGCATGTTAGAAGATTCGAATAAAAGATTTAAATTCCAGCAATACGTGTACGTAGCGGATATGGTGAAGATCGTCTGTGTTGTTGTGTCCAGGAGGGACCGTACCCTATATATGGAAATACGTAACACAATTCATTAAAGTCAATATTTATACTATTTAAAATA